ATTATTATTATAATTACTACAAATTATTATTCTTATAACGTTTATTAATTGGCCATTGAACCTTGAGAAATGAAGTTTAATTTTTTTTTCTCGTTAAAACTCGAAGATCATCATCAGCATCTTCGTCACCACCATCATCATCATCACCGCCATCATCATCATCATCATAGCTATCGTCATCATCATAGCTATCGTCATCATCATCATATCTATCATCATCATTATCAGGACTTGGGCATAGCGGCTCCACCACTAGACAAGATACTGTCCTTCTTAAAGGATGATCATTGGAAGTTCGTCAGGAGCGTCATGACTCCGACTTTCAGTAGCGGGAAAATGAGGAAGGTGAGTTATGATAGTGATGCTGCTGTGATGATGATGATGAAGATGATGATGGTGGTGATACTGATGACGAACCCGAACTTCAGATGTGTAACCAGATAAACAGCTGCTGTCGAACCATGTGCGAGAACCTCAAGATCGAAGCCGAGAACAAGCAGGTGACCAATCTCAAGAGGTTAATTATTAATATTATTATTATTATTATTCTGACCAATTTAACAATAGCCTCATGTACTCTGCAATATCGTCATCGTATGCCATTTATTGGGACAGAAATACTAATTGAATGCATCCTTTAGAACTAATCCTTTCTTGTTGTACGCATTATTACCATTATGACGTCATTGTCGTCGTCTTCATCTTCTCGTCATAAAATCATGACGTCATGTCACAATATTAATACCCCTACTACTACTACTACTACTACTACTACTACTACTACTACTACTACTACTACTACTACTACTACTACAGCTACTACAGTTACTACAGCTAATAGTAATAATAATAATGAGAACATTCTTTTATTGTCTAAATCCAAATACTAAAAATCATTTTATAATGAAATAATTATAAAATCCTATTAATCTAATAAATAACGTAACATAAACATAATATTTATTATATAATTGTTATTACATAAGCATTAATAACAATAATAATAATAATAATAAAAACGTCACGTGACCAGCATATGCGAGGCGTTTACAATGGACACGACTTCTAGTGTGGCGTTCGGCGTGACCCTGGACTCCCACAACGACCCCAACAACGTCTTCGTCAGCATGGCGAGGAAAGTGTTTGACATTAAAATGACACCCGGAATGATGCTGCTCTGTTAGTGGTGGTGGTGATGATGATGACGATGGTGGTGGTGGTGATAATGGTGATAGTGATGATGGTGGTGATGATGATGATGGTGATGGTGGTGGTGATGGTGGTGATGATGGTGATGTTAGCTGGAGGTTTTTAGGAAAGAACTTTGAAGTTTTTAAATTTGACCATTATCATCTCGGGCATCATCATCGTCATCATCATCACCATCATCATCGTCATCATCACCATCATCATCGTCGTCATCACCATCATCATCGTCATCATCATCGTCGTCATCATCACCATCACCGTCATCATCACCATCATCATCGTCATCATTACCAGTTGTTGCCCCTTTCCTCCTCAAGCCCCTCAG